AACCATGTATGCAATCTACTCTAAATGGAGGTATAAAAGACATAGCCATCTACTGATATATTTACCTGTAGAAAATACCAGAGCAAATGTGGTCCAGTGTTAAAATGTGGTTCATGTGGGTAAAAAGTATATGAGAGTTCTTTGTATATTTTTCTATATTTTTGAAATTATTTCAGATAAAATATTAGCATATATATTTACACACATTTATAATATATACGATACAGCATAGATACACATTATACATGTACATCTGTATTTAGAGTACATACAGATAATTCATCCACATTTTGAATGTAACCTCAGGTTGAGATAGCTCCAGCTGGTGTTCACAGTCGAAGTGCTGAGTGAGTCATGTGATTCGTGCTCCAGATTTCTTTGAAATCTACAGTCAGTACATGTGTGGCTGTCTCCTATAAATTCTGGGGCCTTCCGCAAGATTCCTGTGATCTCCTGTGATGAGCCAACATTTGCTTTCTGTCACTCACTTTGCCACTGTCACAGAGTGACAGTAAAAGCTCCTCTCTCTTTGCTTACAAAATAGAAGCTAAGAAACTTATCTCCAAATTACTGATGGAAAACACTCTAAGTTATTTTGATTTACTAATGGTGTGTCAACTCAACTGGATTAAGAAATTCTAAGGGATTAGTTAAATACATTTTTTAGCATGTTTGGGTACGTCATGAAAGCATGACTTTCGTCTATTTCTGGTTCCTGGCTCTTTCCCTCTGGCGCTGTTCCTCTGCTCTGCTTCTTGGTTACCATGAACTAAGCAACCTCCTTCCACCAGATCCTGCCACCGTGTTTTGACCTCAGAGCCAGCCAACCACAGACTGAACCCCTGAAACCATGAGCAAAAATAAACCTTTCCTCCTTTAAGTTGTGTAAATTGGGTATTTGGCCCCAGTGATGAAAAGCTGACAGTTATTTTCATACAAAAAAACTCTAGTTAACTGAGCCTTCAGATGCTTCGAATTCAAATAGGTGCCCTAAGTCATCTGAAAGTTGACAGTTCAATGCTCCTGGGAAGTCTAGGTATGCTCAGTGGTGTTCTGACTTAAGAGTCAAGACCCAGAGATTCGTTTCTAATTAACTGAAGAATTAACTTTTTCAAATTGACAATAAAAAGTCACATTTTCATGGGTTGCAACATGATGTTTTAATATATGCGTACATTGTGCAATGAATACATCAAGCCAAGAACATATCCATTATTTCATATTTATTTGTGATGAGAACACTTAAACCAGTCTCTTCAAGCACGCGACACATTATTATTAACTACAGTCACCATGTCGCACCGTAGGTCTCTTGCGCTGTCTTCCTAACTGAAGTTAGAATGCTTTGAACAATGTCTCCCCAGTGTCCCTTGCCTCACTTCCAGCCGGTAACCAGCATTGCTCTCTCTGCTTCTATGTGCTGTTTAGATTAGTGGCTGAATGTCTGTACCTGGCTTCCATCACTCCACATGTGTTCCGTTTTAATGCACACTGCTGCAATGCCTGGATTTCCTTTTCTGTTTAAAGGCTGGATGGTATTCCACCATGGACATATACTACATTTTCTTTGTCCGCTCATCCATCAATGTATGTTTAGGTTGATTCCATGTTTTGGCCATTATGAATGGTTCTGTAACCAACATGTTGTTGCAGATATCACTTTAGGACTCTAATTTCATTTCCTTTAGATGTACACCTAGAAGTGGGGTTGCTGGACTATATGGTAGTTCTATTTTTAATTTTTTTGAGGAGCTTCTATACTGTTGTCTATTATGGGTACACATATTACATTTCCACCAACAGCCTGCAATGGTCCCCTTTTGAGATAAGGATTCTTGTACAGACAAGATCCTTGTCTCCCACTCCTCTTCCCTTCCCTTTCTTTCCCTACTCCTTCTCCTTCTCATTCTCTTTCCCTTCTACCCTCCCCACTTTTTCTTTTATTCCCTTCCTATACCAACGATAGAGCAGATAATATTTACCCAGTTCCCAAACTCTGCTGTAAGTAGTATTTGGCCATTAGGAAGCTCTTTAGGGGAGATGATCTTGACAAAAACAGGTTCAAAGTGAACATAAGTCACCTTCACCTTATCCTGAGCCTATCTGCTTTCTGCCATTCACTCCTAGTCTCCCACATTTTGTAATCTTAAAAGAAATTCCCAAGGGGACTGTTTCAGGGCTGAAGGATGTCCTCAGAGCAACAAAGACATTGAAACAAAAAGGCAGGCTGCCTTTTCATATTTAAAAATTTAAATTAAAAAATTAAATCAGGGGTAAGAACTCTGGCCAAGTCAAACTAACTGAATTCTGGCTGAAAGTGGCTGGGTGGACCAAATATCACCCGGATGATACTGGTGATGAGGACCTTGATCAGATATCTAAGGTGGAACTCTAGTTAACCTGACCTAGCAGAATTCATACTACAATTCTGTCATGAAAAGATGAACACAGAAATCCAAAAGGCCTAGTCAATAAGAGACTTCACAAATTCCTAACGAGAGTTTGGCCAATTACCAGTTGAGTATCTAGTGATTGAATTATTTACAGGGCATAATGCGAACTGAATTAAGTGGCAATGATTAGATGATTTCCTTCTATAAAGACCTTGATACTGGCACAGATTCTCTGCTAGCCTGGACTTCAGTCAATTCCTCCAAGCCTCTTGTTCGTTGAGGTCTTGACTTTGCCAACTCCTCGTTCCCAGCACTTTCTGAGGCCTGCCCAGCCCAATCTTAGCAAAGGATGTTGCTAAATTCATTTAACCAGAATTCATTACCCTGGGCATCTCCCCCTGGCAGTGTCCCATCCACTGAGTGCCACCCCTGACCCGCCTCCACTCTGCTCCTTGGCCACTGTCCCACCTAGCCTGCTGCCCTTGGAACAGAGCTCAGTCTCTCTCCCTATTGCAGTTACCCACTGTGGTGGTCCTCAGTAGTCTTTCTTACCACCTTAACAAGTCTTCCTTACCAAGTTCACAAGAATACAGTCTTCCTTACCATATTACTTGTTTCTTTTACAGTACCAATAAATTCCAGGTCTTATTTTCTATAGAGGGAATAAGACTGATGCAGGTGCAGAAGTACTTAGACATCTAACAGGAAGTAGGATGTGCCATGGAATGACAGACAGACTTACAGACGAATGAATCTCAAGCAGCAGTAGGAGTCAGCTGGTACGAGAATCTCAAAGTCGGAACAACTTACCTTTTGAGCACGTAAACTTTGAGCTGCATGTTAAAGAATGAGTAAATTTTCTCTAATAATGCAGTATGGAAAAGAAAGCACTGAATAGGGGTCTTCGGTGTCTAGGTCCAAATAAGTGATTTTACAAAAAGGAATTCCAGGACCATGTTGGACCTCAGCCCAACACTGATTGCACTAGGAGGTTGGTGCAGACCTGCTTTTCCTAGCTTGGGCAAACAGGTACCCTGGAGACCATTCCCCAAGGAAAATCAATGCAGATAATGCCCCAATGTGCTGCTTTGGCTCTCTCAAAGAGATTTATTAAAAAGGAACTCTGGTTCTTTGGCTTAAAGTGTTAAAG